GATCATGTACCCAAGGAAATCCCAAACTCATCTGACAATGTCACTCCTTCTGAGCTCAGCAAAATCTTGGGGATGCTCTGACCCTTTTTTTCCATCCTTTCCCAACATTTGCAGCATATTCCCTTCCCCAGCATGTGCAGGATGTTTCCTTTTATCACACAGCCATGTGGGGCTGGACCACTGCAGGGGCGTGTTTTAATTTTCCCTGGATTTTGTATTCCTGTTGAAACTAAACTCATCCTTTGTAGATGGAAACACATCCTAGGGCTTGTCTGTTCATGGAAAGGGTCTTGGCAAAGTCTGGAAAGATGGGATGTGTTGGGAGCCCATCAAATCTGGGCAGAGGCTGGATCAGGATATGAGCTGAGCCAGAGATTTCAGCTCCGGCTGGAGGCAGGAATTAAACATAAAAATAGGTTTTATATTTCAGACAAATCCAAACTGGGAAGCAGAGCAGGATCATGTAAGGGATTGTTGGAGTTTAGCTCCATTTGATATTTCCAAGACCCCACAGCAGTGAGTTTTTCCATTTCCTACATATCTTAGCCATAGAATCCTTCTTCCTCTATTTACTTTTCCTTGGAATGTTTTCATGTATGAAACCCTTGACATTCCTCACTTCTTTTTAGCCTTTTGCTTCCAGACATTTCTGCAAAATCAGTTCTACCTCTGGGTTTTATAGGAAGACAGAAATTTTAAAATATTTTAACATATTTGCCCAATATTTGCCCTTTACTCATAAAAAACTTGGCTGTGTTTGTTGTCAAGCAACAAAAATCAGTTTTCAGTGCAGGGATCAGGATGTGGAGTTAAAGGGGTTTAGCACAGCTGAGTGTTTGATTAAAATTTGTTAAATTTGCTTTTTTAGTGTCTTCTTTGTGTATAATTGTGCAAAATTATTTTCCCATAGAGTCCCATAGTGTTCCAATTGGGATAGGAAATTTAGTGCTTTCTCAAAGAGTGGAATCTGGATTATTAAAAAAAAAAAACCAAGGTCACTGTCATGGACAGTTTCCACCCTGCTGCCTACATTTTTGAAGGATTCATCCTTCCAAACTCAGCCTACAATGTATCTTGTAGACTTCATTTTTACTCCATGATTTTTCTTTCCATCTTCTTCTAAATTCCCAGGATGGTTTGGGTTGGAAGGGACCTTAAAGCTCCAAAATTCCACCCCCTGCCATGGGCAGGGACACCTTCCACTATCCCAGGCTGCTCCAAGCCCTGTCCTGCCTGACCTTGGACACTTCCAGGGATCCAGGGGCAGTAACAACCACCCTGAGCCATATTTTAGGTAGGGTTTATTTAAATCTTGACTTCTTTTCCAGCCTAACCCAGCACAGCGTGTTCTGTAGCCGACCCTAAATTAATGTTGGGCTTGAGGTAGAGAGTGGGAATCTAATTTGGGTATGCAAATTCTCATTTCTCTCTAAACTTAGCTCAGGAGAGAGGCTGAATCTGGCCTTAAGGAGATGTGGAAAGTCCCCTAAAAATCCTTATGGATCACTGAGGCTGGAAAATCCCTCCAGCCCACGGAGTCCAAGCTGTGCCCAATGCCCACCTTGTCCTCAGCCCAGAGCACTGAGTGCCACGTCCAGCCCTTCCTTGGACACCTCCAGGCATGGGGACTCCAAACCTCCCTGGGCAGCCCCTGCCAAGGCCTGAGCTCCCTTGCCATGGAGAAATTCCTCCTGGTGTCCAACCTGAGCCTCCCCTGGCACAGCTTGAGGCAATTCCTGACAATTAAACCCAAAAATTAGGAGATTTCCAAGAGAAAAATGATCTTTCTAATAAAAGTCTTTGCAAGGAAAAGCAGCTCGTTTTGGAATTGGAAATGGGACACAGTTGGAAATTTTCACCAATAAAAATATCTGGATTCTGCATCTGTCAGGCTATCAGAAGACAATTGCAGCGTGTTTTTCCTCATTATCTAATTAATTCACTAATGGCTTTGTTTACAACACAGGCTGGAGGCTGGAAGAGATTTAATTGCACTTCAAAATCTGGGGCCAGACTTCTCTTAAAACACAAATAAAGCTGAAAAATTCCGTTGTGTCCGCTTTGTACAGAGCCCATAAAACATGGCTGGAACATTTGATGTGCATGTTTTTATTTGTGTCTTTAGCAATCTCTATATTGCAAAGGAATTCTGATTTTTGGAGCCACCACGGAGCCAGAAGGAGTGCAGAAGGCAAGGATGTCATTTTTAGTCTCTCTGTGCTCCGCCATCACCTACAGGAACCGATCCCATGGAAAAATTACTCTAATCCTGGGTGTTTAGCTACTCCAATGTATTTATTTCAGAGCTGTCAAAAATGATCTTGATTTTAAACCCAGAAGAACTGACCTGGGGCAGACACTCAGGAGCACAGGACTTGAGTGAAAAGGAAATTAAAGGACAAAGCCAAGAGCAATAAAAGTCAGCAGAGATGGTGTCTGAGAGCTGGGGACACCTGCCCTCCATCCCTGTCACATGAGGTGACGTCCCCTATCCCAGTGGCACCTGAAATTCCTCTTTTCTTAATGTTAATCCTGGATCCCACCCCAGAAGATGCTCAGCTGAGATAAAGCAGGGAGGCTGAGCTGGAAAAAGGAGTGGATGCATCCCAAAAACTCTGCTCCTGCCATTTGCTGCCATTTCTCCAACCCTGGATGATTTATCTCTCAAAAAAACCCTCGATAAAAGTCAATTACATAGCCCAATTTGGGATGAAGAGGAGCATCCATGAGGATGTTGGAAGAGGCACCAGGGAGTCACCAAAAAACTGAGCAAACAACACTCATTCCAATGCTCTGGAATTTTTTCCTGAGATACAGAAAACAAAACTGCCTGGGAAGGCAAGACAAAAGGGGATTTCCATGTGTAATATCTGAGGAATTGAAAATAATTTATATTTTAGGCTGCCTGACCTAAAAGCCATATCCTTGTGCATGGATGCACGAAAAGGGCGACCTCTCCAAGGCACCAGCATTCCCAGAGGTGTCTGGAAAACCACATCCTATGGGAATGTTATTCTGTAATTCCTTCTTGGCCAATTCCAGCCCCAAACATTCCAGTTTCCCCCCAGCCACCACCAGCTCCCCTCTCCAGCAGTGATGTTCCGAGGCTTCGTGCCCAAAGCTATAAAATTCCTTTTTCTTGCCATGTCCTTCACTTTTTTGATCCATTTTACTCCTGGAAAGCACAAAAACTGTGAATGTTTTCCAGGAACATTGCTGCACTTCCATATTCAGGCAATAAAAGAGCCGATTCCTTCAATATATTTTACAATTTTAGCCCAAATAATAAACCATATTTTTAATGGCAAAGGCAGAAGCATGAGGCAGCAATTCCAGGCTCAGTTTTGACAAAAGGAATATTTTCTTGGCTTTATAACAGAATTTCCTTCTGTGGTAAAGAAAAACAACAAAATCTGGTGTGTTGAACTGCACTTTTAAATATGTTTTATCTGTGTGCAGTTCAGTGTCAGTTAAGAGCTACAAAAAATGAGCTTATCCAGCATTTTCCTGCTCAGGAGAGGGGCACCCACCCCTGAAGAAAACCCCTGGGAATGTTTTTTGCACACCAGGTGGCTCCAGGGCTCCTTGGAGCCTTCTGAGGTGGGAGCATCTGCTGAGAACAGAATATTTTTACTCGAGCTGACACCTTGAAGGGGCAGAGCACCTCCTGGGCCAGGGTCACACATCACCAGGGTGGAGTTTTTGTTACCTTAAAGCTGCCACAGGCAGAGGCCTGGCCATGGCCACCGGTGAGGGTCCCAGCAGCCACCCCTCATGGGGAGAAACCTGAGCACCTCCCCAGGAACACCTTGAGGTTGGCAAAACCCCTTAAAAATGAACCCAAAACCTTCACAAGGCACAAACCAAGCCTCAAACTGGTGGGTGGAGAAGCCAGATGTTAATTTAGGAGGCAAATCCCTGGTGCCTGGAGAGGATAGAGGGACTTCAAAAGAGAGGTTGAGCACAACCTCCTGCTCTAAAGCATCCTCAGCAGCTGACTCCTTAAAAATACTCATTAATTTAAATATTCATAAACAAAATAATCATACATTAAACCCTAAACCCCTGGAAGGGACCAGTGTTCCCACAGATGCTCTCCCCTCCACAGGATTTCACATCCATGCAGGAAAAGTCAGGAATAAACCACAGGGAAGAGCAAGTTGGGTTGCACACACCAAATTTACTCTTTACATCACAAATAACCACCAAAACCACCTCGTTTTTCCCATTTTCTAATTCCCAGCCGCCTTCGGCCCCCACAGGGTTACAGAGTGGAGGATTCCCCAAAGTTTTGTGGTGGTAACAGTAACTCTGTTCCCCATCTGCCTGGGCTTGCAGGAGTTCCTAACATAGTGCAGGAGTGTCCGGTGTCCGGAGCTCCTCCGTGGTGAAACCCAACTCCCTCTTCCTACTCCAAGGTTTTGCGTTGCCTTGGTGTTACAAACAGGTCGCCTCTTGCTCGGGCTCTGCTTTAAAGGAGACCACAGAGCTCCAAAGCCAAGCAGAGCAAAAAAAAGCAGGCTTGGATTTTGTCCTTTCTCCACAAAACCAGGCCCTCTCTGGGATGTGTTGCCATGGGTCAGCTTTGAGAACAATCAGGTGCAAGCGCTCTAGACCTGAATAAAAAAATGTGTAAGAGAAGTTTTCTACTGTTACCCTGGACCTGGTTAAATAAGATTTTAGGTTGCTCTTCCAATGCTAGCACTCACCCAATTCTTCAGGGTGTTTTTAAAAGGCCGTAAATCAATGCCATAAACCACTTAAGAGAGAGAGGAGATGTGTGCTCCTCTCTCAGCCTAGGACATAAATCCTCCTTGGCTACTGCAAAACATTTATTGGTACATTTCTTATGCCTGGAAAGGAAATATAAGTCAGTTTTCTTCACTATACAATCCCAGCAGATCATTTTTCTCAGGGGTATTGGGGTGTAAGTACAAAGAAAATGAAGTCTTTAACACGGCAGTTGTTTTAGGATGCCACACAAAGAAGAGTTCACCTACCAGCTCCACTCTCCCGAACCCTCCGACTCCCAGGGTGTCGATGATGTTGAAATCTGACAGTTTCAGGTTGGCAAAGAAGGCAGCTTCGGCTTCGTATCTGGAGGTTTTGAGGCGAAAAAATGGAAATTTCTTAGAGGTGCAAACCTGAGCAGTGTGAGTCGCCGCCCCCGAGCTGTGAGAGCCTGGGCCAGCCTTTACCTGCTGCACTTCCATCTCAGCTCTCAAAATTGGCTTTTAGCTCAGCATTCTGCTGCTCCCGATCCCAGCGTGGCTCTGGAGGGCACAGTTTTCCAAGGGGGAATAGCAAACATCCCTACTGAGGGTGCAAAGCCAACGCCTGGCACCACGATCCAGCTCCCAAGGCTACAGCTGGGCACGTTCTACCCATCTTCTCCTGGGTGGGATTTGCCTTTAAAGATTTTGGTGTCTTTAAGGATTTTTGGAAAAGGCTCTCCTAGGAGTTTCTCATATCCACAGGCTGGCAGCAGTTTCTCTAAATGTTTATTGGAAGTGGCAGGATCACTAAAGGTCCCTGGAGAGAAATCCCAGCCAGGTTTTATGAAATCAGATCTGATAAGCTGCAAATGCCTGAAATGAATGACTCCAGTCACAGATCAGCATTCCTATAAGGGTATCTTCACTTGTTCTCCTCCTGCAAACCCACTCAGAGCAGCCATCCCAAGCCAGGAGGTCTCAAAATCCCAATGGTCTCCGTTTATCCCATGGCAAACTGCCCCACAACACCAAGCCCCTGAATAAGGAAAACGCAACTCCAACCCATGCAAGCCTGCCAGAATCAGCTTCCCATGCCTATCCATGACCATGATTCCTCCAAAATAGTTCCTTGTTAAGGTTTAGGGTATTTTTAGAAAGGCTTGGAGGGGAAATGGATGAGCAGGATCCGCCCCCTCCATCAAATGTGACACTCGGCTGCCGGAGAGTCCGACCTTTGGCTGAGGGTGACTTTATGGGAAGAGTTGGCTGGAGGGTGCAGGGCTTCATCTTAGCTGGAATAGCTTGCAATTAACAGTAGGGCATAATCACTGGAGGCTTTGCTGGTGCAGGGTAACAGCAGTGGGAAGATGAGCCACCATCCCACTGCCACCTGGCCAGCTCTGGGACATTCCGACCCCGATTATTTCATTAACAGCATGAAGTGATTTACTGCCAGATTCCCTTCAAGCCACCTCCTCTGCTCTATTTAAAACCTCAGTGCCAATGGGGGAGAGAGAGCAAAACCCCATCATTTCCCAAGTGAAAAGGGAAACCTACAAATAGGAGTCCAACAACATGAAAGGTCACATCATGAAGCCCCAAATCTGAGGCAGCAAAGCACAATTCTCTCCCGGGGGTTGCTGTCAACAAATTACTTAAGCCCTGCTTTATTTTTTATGCTGTCACCAGATCCTGTCTGTGACCTTGCTCCTGATGCATCCGACTTTGGAAGCCAATCAGCACAGAGCCTGCTGTGAACTTGGGATAACCTTGTGTGCCACAGCTGCTCATTGATCCCTTCACGCTCATCACGAGGTGAATGCTGAGTTGGCTCTAAAAAAGGATTTAAATGTCCCCTTTCAAAGCACGGCAGAGCCATCATTTCAGCAGTGACAGAGCAGGGAGAGCCTCTCGTTTCCATGATGAATGTACAGAGCAGTTAAATTCCTTTAATGATTTCTAATTGCCAGGAAGATGAAATTCCAGTGTGGAGAATTTCCTGTCAATACACAAACAGATGTAAAATTTCAGGGCCAGGGTCACACAATGATTTGGGTTGGAAGGGACCTTCAAGACCGTCAGATTCCAACCTCCCTGCCATGGGCAGGGACACCTTCCTGGATAAGGAAGCTGAAATCTTCTGGATTTGAATTAGAACATGTCAAAAAACTGTATTATTTTGCTTAGAAAAATATTTGTGATTGCGTTGGAAAACCTTTGGATGTATACATGGATACATAAATGGATACATTTTTTTCTAAATACAGTGCAACAAGCCTCCAAACTCCAAAAGAAATGCCAAAAATATGCAGTGAAACTGAAACACAGGTAAAATCAATCAAACAAGCCCTTCCCATGGTCACTAACAACAGTCCCACTGGAATTCTGTTTTATTCCCAGCTATGGAAGTCCAAGTCCACTTAAACACCAAATTCCTACAAATTAAGCCATTATGCATTCCAAACCTGCTAAGCTGGAGGATAAATATCTTCAATAAAGAGATGAAAATACAAATATTCCCAAGCTAAATCAGAAACCAGGGGTATGATCCTTCATGCTACTCATCATGAAGTTTAGAATTCCTTCCAAATTCCTGAAGCTGAGTGTGCTGTTCCCTGAACAGAAGCTCCCAAGGCTCTGCAGTGTGAGCTCCTCACTTGACAGAATGATGGTAAAAAACATCTGTGATGTTTGATTTTATCACCTCCCAAAGTAAAGAGGCCCTTTCAAGGCACTGGGAGGGCAGTGCTAAGGAATACAGTTGCTATATTAATATTTTTCTGTAGGAAAATGTTCAGTTCTGGATCAGGATAAAGAATCTGCAGCAGTCAGGAATGTTTGGGATATTCACAGGATGGCTCAGGCTGGAAGGGACCACAGCTGGTGCCACCTCCCTGCTCCAGCAGGGCCATCCCAGAGCACAGGGCACAGCATTGTGTGCACACAGCTCTGCCACAGCCCCAGGCAGGAGAGCCCACAGCCTCTCTGGCCAATGTGATCAGGGGAGAAGTTCCATAGAACAGAGGTGGGATGAGAGTAGGGACAGTTTGACCCCACTTGTGCAGGATGAGGTGGGAATAACTCATCCCTTTGTAGGACAAATCCACCTGTGCCAGGGCAGGGTGCTTTTCTCCACTTTTGGAGGTGCCACAGCCTCATGTCATTCCTCCTTAATCAGAAAGGCAGTTTAATTGTAAATCCCAGCCTTATGACAGTGCTTGAAGATCTTCCAAATAATCAAATGCTTTTCTGACCTCTGGAAGAGTTCAAATTCCTGAATCAATTGATGAGAGGAGTGCTGGGAAGATGCCTTGGAGGCAGAAGCGGCATCACAGGCACATTCAGTGCCACGCTGGAGCTGTGCAGACATGAACAGGCCTGAACTTCCTGCACTGGGATTTCTGGGCTTGTTTATCTTCAGTGGAATTAGCTGTAATTAAGAAAGAGCCTTTCCCTGGATGTTTTGGTGGTTGTGCTGCTCATCCCGTGTCAAAATGTCTGGAAAATCATCAATGTCTGGACCTCAGAGAGCAGCACAGGAGATGTCCAGGTCTGAGTTAGGCAGGAGCATCCTACAGAGTCTCCAAACCCTTCTCCAAGATTTCCTGTGAATCTGAATGGCAGAAACCCCCTGAAACCTCCTCTGGAAGAGCTGGGGCTTGGGAGCACCGCTCCTTTCCTTGCCTCCAATAAAATACCTGTTCCTGATGAGCTGCCTTGCCTCTTGGGCAGGGACAGGCACCATGTACAAGACACCAGAGTAATCAGGGAGCTCAGGATGAAATTCCATCTTCCAATATCCCAATCCTTTGAAATGGCAGTGCAGGAGCCCAAATATCTGGCCAATGCTGTGCCCACAGGGAGAGGAAATCCTGTGGCTCCTCACACTGCTGGAGGTTTCCCAGCATTTAAATGAGCCACTGCCTCCTAGGATGATGATTACTCTGAGAGATATTTTAAGCTTTGCCTCCTAGAACTATGAGCAACAACAAAAATAATGAAATAATTGTGTTACCCAGGCAGCTGATAAACAAGAAAATGTGAGGAGCAAAGGTTTGCAATTACCCAACTGCTCAGCTTTGCTGGAGTAGCTCCTGATTCCCATCCTAACTGTGTTGGGAAACATCAGACATCTGTTAGCAAACTGTCATCTCCAGAGAAAACTTGGCTCCTCTCCACCTGCAGGCTGCCAGCCAGCCAGGAATCGCAACTAAATGGGAACCAACCATCTTGATCTGAGGAAATGCCACCAGTTTGGGGGGATAAACCCAGAATTTGGGAGCCTTTCCCACTGACTGACACCAGCCTTGTTTAATGAGCAGCCTTTCATTTGTTTTTTAGGTCAGCCTGGACACTACCTCACCCATCACTGAGGAAATGCATTTCTGAGGATGGAAATTACAGAATCTCTGCAAAAGCTGGGAAAAGTGGAGCTGCAGCACCTGGATGGTGATGATCAGAGCCAGTCTGCAGGGAGACATAGGTGAAATGAGCCTGAGATCCACAGGTGGGGTGAGGAGGGAAATACATCCCAAAACTAAACCTTACTTCTGCGTCCACTAAAAGCCCTTGTGGTTTTAAGATACAGCAAGATTCTAAAGGGGTTAGAGAATCATGGAATAGTTTGGCTTGGAAAGGACCTTCATGATCATGTTGTTCCAACCACCTTCCACTAGACCAGGTTGTTCCCAACCCTTTCTTGAACACTTCCAAGATGGGTCAGCCACTTTATTTCTTATCAAATGCTGCTTCAGGTGACGGGGCACTTAAAAAAAATATGTGTAAAAGAAAGCAAAAAAATTCCCCCAAATCTTCAGTTCTGTGACTATTCTTACTCTCCATCTGCCTGTCCATATTTTAGCTGGGATGAAATGACCCACCCTGGGTCTGGTCCCTAAAGCTCCCTAGATTGGATTTGTGCCATGTGAAGAACACAAATTTGAGTGAAGGTGAATAATGGGAAGTGGCAGGGACATGGCTGGAATTCCCATCACCAGGAGGCTTCATCACTGAAAGTGATGGAAGGAGGAGCAGATGCAGCAAATGGTGGCAGGGCTGCCACAGCTTCCCTTCCCTGCTGGCTCCAATGACTCCAAAAAGCTCAGGATCACATCTTTCCCAGGGATTTGGGGCACCAGGGAATCTAGGAGTAGGTGAAAGTGAAAACAAAAGCACCTTGTGCTGTGTCCACATGAGATGCTGAGCTGTGCCCTGTTTGAGGGAGCTCTGGCAGGGAACAGAGGGGAGCAGGGACAGCCACAGGGCATCGACACAACCAGCAGGATCCAGAGTCTGGGAATGCCTGAAAGCACTGGGAGGCAGTGAGAGCAAATCCCTATTTCTTTGTGGTGTGTTGCCACTCATCCTCTCAGAGGTCAAACC